AAGAGGAAAAGCTCAACAGAGCCAAAGCATGGATAATCAAATGGGGCATTGGTTTCACAGTCGTGATAGTACTTCTCTGGCCTATTCTTACACTTCCTGTGGGTAAGTCGGAATAATTTAATCCTTCTGCTACTTCAGTGTTAGTGTGAATGCTCGATGATTAATTGGTTGCAAACTTGATAATGCAGGGCAATTTAGCAAGGGATACTTCACATTCTGGGCTGTAATAGCTATTGTATGGGGTACAGTAGGATCAGCAGTTATTATTGCTTTACCATTGATGGAAAGCTGGGGAACAATCCAAATTGTGCTTAATGGCATGTTTACAAATGACAGAGTTATGGAAAAATTGGAAGACTTAAACTCCAAGCTGAATGCATTTATTATAGCAATACCTGAAGTAGAGAGGGTGTATTTACTTGAGAAAGAAAGGAGCAAGAGAAAGGAAGCATCCGAATCCGATCAGATTGCTGCTTCACCAAGTCATTGAATTCCCAGAGAAAACAAGTCGATCAGTGTGTATTTTAAGTCCAAAATAAGACAGAGGTGCTTTATACATACTGTCACTTTCTGCAAACTAATGTGACTACAATGATTGTATAAAGTACCATGACTTGGCTTCATGCCCCGAACATAGTGTGGTTTTGCTTTTGAAAGTACATCATTGTCTTGTTTGAATTTTGTTTTGGAATGTCTGTTTAAACATTGGAAGAACTCAAGAAGTCATGTGCCAATTCTTTGGCTATCTCATGTAGTGAAGCTTTTCATCTCTAGTGAAATAAATTCAGATGGTAGAATAACTTGTTCAAGTGACAGTTAGCTACCTAGTAAGAAACTGACACATGTCAAAGGATGCCACGATAGTTTGTGAGAATTGTCATCGCACTTTGAGAGGCCAAGTGGCCAACAAACATTAGATGAAACCTTTTTATTAGCAAAAGGTAACATGACCAGACAATCTTTCCGATCAGCCTGAAGAGATTTCAAGGCATAAAAAAGCAGCAAATATTTCTACTGAGTTCAAACATTCAAATAAAAACTGAAAACTGTGAGTAATCAGAAAGTTGTTTCTATCTAAACAAAAAGATTAACAAGAAATCAGATAGCAACCAATATGTGGTAGTGCACTGTACACCGGATTTACTTTTCAGAAGTCATCAAAATTCAGTGTTCAACCATTTAGTGTAGTAGACACATGTTTGTGGGGATATAACTCCATTGGGTGAACATTGACTAATCCTAGGGCAAGCACCACACGGAATTGAAGCCATTGGCCCTATTGTTTTCGGACCCGTCCCTAAAGCAACTCCGCTTGAAGTTCGATAACAAACTGATCCAACATGAATAGAATGATATTCTCCCAATCCAGTGCTCTTCACCTCTATAATAGCATTGTCTAGAACCATAGAGTTCAATATTTCCGCAATTTGCTGACTTGTGCACTCAACAACTTTCCTTTTCTTCAAGAAGTTGTGGATTCCCTCCACAGTAGCAACTTTCAGCAATTCTATGACCTTGAAGCATGTGTCTCTGAGAACGGTGATGAATTCCTTATCAAGATTTCCCTCAGAGTACCATGAACCACCAGTCAGTTCCTCCGAAGGTTCAAACTCAACGGCCATGTAATGCTTCTTTCCCTTATTTTGGATATTCACAACTTGTTTTATCAACTTCTTTTTCACGAGTGCGGTCAGGGATTTATCCACAAGAGTTGGTGGGAGGTTTGCCTCCTTTTTCACCTCTACCACCCAGATGCCCAGATTCCTTTTATTTTTTACCAGACTGAGCACTACACGTTCAGCATCTGGAAGTCCCCGAGTAGGTGAATCCAAGTCTGGTCTTTTCCGCTTCATGGTGGTTGCTTCCCTTGATCGACTCATCTCTGAGAGCATAAAAAGAGCAAATAAAGAGATGAATTTTACCTTGGTTCTTATCACACTAAAGTGGCATGGAGAAAACAATAATTCCAGTTCAGACTCATGTAGTAACTAGCAGTGAGAGCAAAATCAATTCTCTCCAAATAGTCAGTCATGCCACCAAGATCCCAAATCAACAAATGCAGAAACACTCTATTTGAACCCTACGATATTTCTACTTCAACTATAAAACAAACAGAGTAAGATGACTTTATTTTAATGACCGAGAAATCCGTCCGGGGCCAACCGTTAGGACTAACAGCAGCCTTCAAAACTCGGGGATAATGGGCCACCCCTCTACTGTTCTCCACTTAAATATCAGGCTTAGTTCTCATGGTGCGGGGCTTGAACTTGTCCTCAACCATTGCCACTTGAACTAAGCCTTGGGGGCGTGAATTTGTGACCCAAATCACAACTCCCTCAACCAACCTTTGTCACTTGAATTAAGAAATTTAAATTATAATTTCTGAGAATATTCTATTCGAATTTTCCAATAACAAATTGTGACGCCCAAATACCTAATTTGGTTGGTTTCTCAGTAACTGCAAATTTCTATCCCAAAATTACGCATCATATTCAACCTTTCATTCCTCATTCCTACACCATCTCCTTCACCGTGAATTTGAACCAATTCACTGATAACCGACAGTTATAGAAGAATGATTCACTATATTAAATTAAAACAAACGAGGATGAAACAAATTAAAACAAAAATAATACGACAAAAGAGAGGAAAGAAGAGAGAGACATACAGAGAAGAGAAGAGGAGTCGCCGAATCCGAATCGCTGATGCCGTCGCCCTTTGCCGGTCGGAGGAGTTCACAAAACACGAAATTGTGGTTAGGGAGAGAGGTTTAGGTAAAAAATAAAATATAAAACACAAAATAAAACTTTAAGGCCAAAAAGTGAATTGACAATTTATTCGAAAAACTTTTGTACTTAAATGAAATTAGTTCAATTTCATTTAATTATTTGAATTTTTGAATTAAATTTTTTAAATTACTTATAAGTTATAATGTAGAGAAATCTACATTATTTACCTATCCGATCCAAAATTATTAGCCACATGTACCTATTTTAAATTTAATTTCAATTTATATCAATCTAACCCATAATTATTACCCGACCTACCTACAGAACCGAAAAAATATGTATTCAAACGGAGCACATATTGGTTCTCTAATCCATGCGAAGGAGTGGAGTTCTGAACCAGTTCACGGATCCATTGTAATTTTCTTTCTTATGTTTAAATCAGCTCAAATGTTTTTATTTATTTGAATTTTGTGTGTATCTATTTATTTGTTTGAGCTATTATTTTAATTAATAAACATTCTGAAATTCTATCTTCCATAGATGAGAAACCGAGTAGGAGAAAATTCTCAGCGAGTCTCTATCAATTATTCAGTAGAGAAACAATTCAAAATAGTGGATACAATTTCAGATCCGAAGGAAAAAATTGAAACTTTATGTAAATGAGTTCAAAATATCAGATTTGAATATTCATGTATGTTTTAAGTGTTTTACACTTAATTCATTAGGTGTTATTTTTTGATGTGTAGATCATGGTGTTAACGTAGATTTTCAGAGATTTATTATAAGAAAAATTAAATTTACGATGGAAGGACTTGAAGCTTTCACTCATAAACTAGGTTTGTAGAGTTTGCAGTTATTTCGATGTGATTTTGACGGGAGTATGTTTGAAGTGTAGATCGGAGGTTGTGACTAAATTTTAACTAAATTAGGTGGAGATTTTGGGATAGATTTTTGAATTTTAGGTTGAAATTGAATTGAACTAGCGAATAAGACAAATCTGTATTTTTTTTTAAGGAATAAACCGGTCTTTATGATACCTTGTCAGTATATAAATCAATCTAGTTCATTTGTTGGTTGATTTGTGAGATGATCCAAGTCCAGATGATGAATTCAAACACTATTCTAATCTCTTGTTTGCCTTTATCTGTACACAAGTTTGGATTAGTGTTAAACTAAGCTCCAAATTTAATAACTCAAAAAAGTCTGTATCATAGTGGAGTGACTTGTACGATGGTAGGACCTCTTCAATTTTAGGGAGGCCATGAGTCTCCGAAGTTTGTGTTACATATTTTTACAAAGATATGAATTAAGTTGTTACCATTCATATTTTGTAATTCAATGGTAGAACTCTTAATATTTGTATCCCATAAACATTTAAGATTCGATTCATAGTACTACTCTGCCCTCGCCAGAACTTTTACCTTCCATTTTGGCTTGCTGCTGCACTTTGCAGAAACTAAGTTTCGATCTTCTATATATCAGAGAATGTCGAACACCCATCTCTTCAAGTTGAATTCTCCAACCAATAGATCGTACGTGGGTTTTCTTTCTTGTAAAGATCTCCATTAACAAGATACCATAGTTGTAGCATATAACATCTCCCACGGTTGACACTAAGCCTTCTGATCTGTATTCTGCAAACATTCGTCATATATTTTTATCAACAAAAAATGACATAATATGCTATTTCTTAACTATCTTTCTATTTAGTTAATAAAATGTGACACTAATTACACTGAGTTAGATTATGTTGTTCAACATAAATAAAAAGGACTTGAGATTATGTAGTCAATAGTGTTTAACGTCTTGGTTTGTGCTATCGTTTTATCTGTTGTCATAAGTTTGAATATACCAAAGCCACTGACTCTTGCAACCATGGCTTCATCCAAAAGTATGTTACTTGGTTTTAGATCACAGGACGACAATACTAGAACGACTTTCATGTAAATATTCCATTGTAGAAGCCACATCAACCATGACCTTCAATCTTTGGTTTAAATATAGAAAATTTGTGAGAGTAAAGCCATGTACTCAGCAGTCAGCACCAACACTTTAAAATCAAGGTAAGCACAACTTCTTATCACCTTAACAAGATTTCTATGGCGAATGTTACGCAAACCTCACACTCGAAATCAAACCTTCTAAATGCATCTTGAACTTCTGTATTGAAAACGTTTACAACAACAAGTTGGCTTTGTATACTAAAAACCAAGGCATCCACTGCCAATCAAGTTGGCTTCATCAAAGTTGTTTGTCCCTCGAACAACTTTATAGTAAGAGATCCTCTTATGGGATTGGCCAATCAAATCTGGTATAGCAAGTTGTCTATTTCTTTTTTGGTATTTCAGCAGCCAAGCCATGCATGAAAATGGCTGTGACTACTAATGCTACTGCAATTAATGCAAGAACAAAAGTTAAAGCCCTTCTCTTGTTTCTACTTTTCGGGCTATTGATTCTATATTTCACCACATTGAATTGAGATGTTCCACACAATTTGGCGTTATTCATGAAAGATTCAGCTGTCAAATTTGCAAAACGTCCTCCACTTGGAATCTTACCAGTGAGCGGACACACTAAGATAGCTGAGCTGTTTAAGATTCACCAAAGACTCGGGAATTGTACCAGAAAGGTTATTTCTAGATAGATCCAAGTATGCAAGAGCAACCATGTCTCCGAATGATTCAGGTATAGAACCTTCAAGATTATTCATCGACAATGAAATATTCACCAAATTCTGTAGTTGTCCTATTGTGCTTGGAATTTGTCCTGTGAATTGATTTCTTGATAAATCTAAATCACTAAGACTCCTCAAAATTTCCTATTTCGAATTGCAAAGAATCATTGAGAAAATTGGAGGACAACTTCAGAACTGATATACCCCTATTAGTACTCCAACAGGGATTTCACCTGTGATGCCATTTACGAAGGCAAGGAACCTTTCAAAAGAAT